CCCGGTTTTTACAAGGACGCGGCTAACTTTAACGCGGTGCAGAGCAGGCAATGGTCGAAACGTTCCAGGCAAAGTACGTCTCGCTGCACGTGCGCGTCTCCAACGTCGCCGCCCGCCACTTGTACGAGGACACGCTGGGCTTCAAGAACGAAAAGGTCGAGGCAAAGTACTACGCCGACGGAGAAGACGCGTTTTGCATGCGCCTGGACCTGGACGATATCAAGAAGCAGCTCGACGACGCGGAGAGGGAGACCAACGGCACGGACGGTGTGGACGAGGGCGAGGCCGTGGGCGAGGTCGGGCGGGATCCGGCAAAGAACAAGGACGACAAGGAGGGGCGGAAGATCAAGGTCGCCGTGGGGAGGAGTCTAGGCGTAGGCGCGTTGGTGGAGAAGGATGAAAGCAAGCATTAGAATTTGGGGTCTGAGAGGGTTGAAGGGGCAAGGGTAGGTATATCGGTGCATGAGATGAATGGCTGTGTCACTACAGTGGATAGATAGAAAACGAGCGCAACCATGGTACCGTCATATTCGGCCAGTGTGGGAGATGGTATAAATTGGCAATGGGCTTGTAGTTGTGGTTCGGCGCGGTAATGCGACAAAGTCGGCTTGGACTGATGGACCACGGTACACTCGGTCCAACCTGTGATCACCGGAAGAGGCAACTTGTTTGGAACATTGGTTCTGGGCTAACATAAAGTCTGGTGGGATTTTTTTTGCTACGAACAGAAGGGACTACGACATTTCGGCACCCATTTGGCTCTTTGTTGTGTTTCTGCCTGGGCACTCGAAGCGCGGACTACATCTGGCGATATATATGCATCTATAAATCAGGACTCGCCTTGATCCACCTTGGACATGCTCAAGTGTGCTCCTAGGCCGATGAAGCCTCGATAGATATGTCTGCAGGAATTTATTGCTCCGGCTTGTCTGTACCATGTGTTGAGCGTGGCAGCGCCCCAATTCATACTGTGCCGCTTCGCGATACTGGCTTGAGACTGCCTTACTATGAACTTTTCCGTAGAAGAAAAGAAGGACATCTGATTCTCTCAGACCCAGCCAAGTCCAAGCCTGACATGCCCCGTTTGTGGCTTTATAGCTTGCTTCAAAAGGGCGGGGGATCTCGCTCCCGAGCGCTATTGTTTCGGGCCCTTTTCATCATGTCGTTCCGGCGTATGTCGTCAGCTCCTTGATGTTATCCCGGGCATAAAGATACCCTTTCCACACGAGGGCTCTGTGAAAAGATGCTAGGAAGGGCTTTGGGAGAACACGCTCGGGGACGGGCGAAGCAGGGCACTGGGATCATCAGGTCCCGGCTCTTTCTTCCAGGACGCAACGCCTCCTTGTTGGGACTGACTCCGAGAGCATGGGATGACGTCGCTATGAAGATAAGGAAAAAAAAAGGGAGGGGGCCTTTGATGGCCGGGGGACGTTTCGCAACCGAGCCGTCCCCGTCATGAACCAACTCTCCCTGTGACCTGGCAAAGCGGACGGAGCTTGTTGAGACGGTATTCCGGACGAGTTTGCGGGAGTGTACGTCCTAGTGACTGCAGGGCCAGGGAACTCGTGTACTTGTCGGTGATGGCGACAATGAGCGCTTGGGTTTCCCTACGTGCGGGCCTAGAGGCAGACGGACTACGCAAGAACATGAGGGGCTGACAATGGGCCGGGGAACAGGAGCGAGATGTTGTTGAAAAAGAAATCCCAGCGTGATACACGCTCTCTGAAGCGGGCTGTTCTTTGGGCACTTTCTCTCCCTGATCCCACCGCCACTTGGCCAGAGACGATTGGAGATAAGACACAGTCACAGCGACGGGCGAGGTCCTTCGAAGGTCAACTAGACGTCTCTGTGGGGAAGTGGAAGTTGTCTCATGGTCCTTGGGGTCCAGTACTTCAGAGCTCTACAGTGTTTCGAGATCAGAGAAGGGGAGGGGCAGGCTATGGACAGCTTTCCCCCGGGGGGTTCTGAATCTTTTGGACCAGGTTTGAGGGGTTGGGAGACCGGCTCTGTGACTGGGTCCGTATGGTGCTCGTATGGGGGGTTTCTTTGCCCGGGAATTGATAGCACTCTGCTTTCCTTTCTGATCATGGCCGGGGGCTATGTATTCTCCAGAGGTCCAAACGACCCTCCCTGCCGGGTGGCTTCGGAAAAGAGCCGTCTAGACTGAGACTCGGAGCTGTGATGATGGTCAATGACCATTAGAGATGTGAAGCGATGCCGATCAGGGTGAAATTTCGGGCGTACTCGACCATTTCAGCCTGGGCAAAAAGACAGTCACAGGCGCAACTTTGTCATCTGCGAGCAAAAGGGATATCTTGTCTCCTTCTGTATGCGTGATCGCGCTCCCCTGATCTGGGATGTGTGTAGATGGTCACTAACCTGGGTCGATATGTCTGCAGTCTCTCTGGGAATGCGGTGGCCGAGAGGGCTGCGGGTATAAAAGCGTGGCCTTTTGCTCTTCCTTTTTCCATCCAGTCCGAGTAACTCACCGCACCACTTCAATCACTCCATTAAAAACCCGCAAAAGTCATCATGTCCTCAGACAGCACCCCCCAACCAAGACTCTGCCTCGAGGACGAAATGGCAGGGGAGGTGGCCCCCCAAAATTACTGGAATAACCCGAAGCCAGAGGGAATCGCTCTCTTCGCCGAGCCTTGCAAGACCACCGACTACCAATACCAAGGGTGGCTCATCCGGGAAGACGAAAAAAAAGGTTGTCCTGGCAGGGAGAGCCGAGTTCGATGCGGACTGTCCACTCGAGGTGCCCAATGCAAAGGCCATGCGTCCCCTGGAAGGAGACCAGATACGGCATTTGGCAGATTGGCAACAGACTCATTGAGATATATGGGTATAATAATCGTTACTATGCCCCGGGCGACGCTCAATCACCATTTACATTGACGCAAAGGCATATAAAAACGCAGTTGTGAGTCGTACGACCAATATACCCGCGATTCGCGCAACCAACTTACCAAGCTGAATAGAACAATGACTCGGAGCACCCTGATGTGGATAGACTCCGTCCCGGGCGACACCATCATAACGATGTGAGACAATCGGATTTTTGGGTTGATGGGCCCGATGCCAGAGCCGTCAATTGGAGACATGCTATTCTACGGGCTGGACCCGACGCCAAAAGCCTTTACCCTCTTCATACACCAAACTTCCGTCATTTGTGCATCATACCAAGCGGTGCTCATCAGGGAAGACGACGAAACTGTTGTTCTGGCAGGAGACGCACATAACCCAAGGTTCCGCTATCCCGGGATGCTAGAGCGCCTCCTCGAGGCGAAATATGGGCAGAATTTCGCCGTCAAGGCGGGAGACGGGATAGTCGCCATCTATATCAACGCAGATACTTTCTACAACAGACCTGTGAGTACTACTACAGGACTTTTTGCCATGCGCATGATTAACCAGTAAATAGAAACGTGACTCTTGCTACGCCAACAGCCTCGGCATCTTTGGGCCTGCGCGCGAGCATGAGTGTGATGCTTCGACCGGAGAAAAGCTTCTACGAGAATACACGGCAGCTCAGGAAAGAGCTTCTAGAAGATGTAGAGCCGTCGAAGGATGGACCGAGGCACAAGCGCCGTCAGCCCGCAGCTTGAGCAACGAAAGCTCTGTCCCCGAAAATGTCACTGCTCCCTTCGTTTTGAGTAAGCTGTCCTGGATATTGTGTTTCGATTCTTACGCATGGTTTCAATGTACGATATCACGACCTGCGAAACATGTCGTCGTCCGGGCAAATATTAACGGGGGAGATCCATGGGCGGTATGGTCGCAGGTCAAAAAGGACCTTGAAGAAGTCTATGGAAGCAAAAATGTCCTGCCCTGCGAACAAAGCGGCTATCTGTTCATCTACATTGACAGAGGCGATCTTGACAAGAAATCTGCAAGTATCCTCTCCACGCGGGGGGTTGACAAAATCGTGCCTAACCCCCAAATAGGTGGACAATTCCATATCTATCGAACAAGTAAGAGAGCAACGCGAGCGTCTCCGGCCAAGCCCGTTCGAACAACGGATGTACATGCGAGCCCTCGTCAGGGAAGTGGTCCGCGACGGCGACATGGGAGAACTTGACGCCCGAAACCGAAAGCTCGGTACACGAAGATCTCTTGGGAATCTTAAGACGTGCTCGTGAGTTTAGAGGTGATGCTTCTAACAGAGGAAGGCTTCTAGTAAAATACATGAGAGAGGAGAAAACGCCTTCTTATCCAACTAGACCCGTACCTGGATGGGCCGTTATTAATAATAGCCTGGGGTTCCATGTAAACTGGCGGGGAATATGGAACATGTTGTCCAACTTGAACAACCGAATTACTCGGGCACTTGCGCCCTGGGGTTATCTGCAAAAAACGCAACAAGATATCTGATTGGGAATTTATAAATGGCTTTAGTTTTGGAATAGTTGACATGTTTGTTTTTGTCTTGTTATTTTGTTATCTAGTTAATTGACGTTACTTTTTGCCTGCTTTTAAACTCTATCGTTGTATTTTAACTTCCCTTGACTTTTAGATTAATCTCTTGATACAAATTATAACACCATGGTGTATTACGTGGTTAGTTACGGTTTCCTGGCCTAGGTACGGCTAAAATATAATGCTACTAGACGCCCTTTATTTAGCCTCTTATGTTTATAATTTAATTTAATTTATGGGTATTACATTTAACAGGATTGTATATTAATTATACAGTCACAACGACGGACAAGGTTCTTAGGGTCAGTATTTCAGAGGGTTACAGGGAGCTGTAATAATAGTCTATACATGTGTACGCTTTGCGTTAATAACTATAAGAGACTTAGAGCTCCCCTAAGCGATGCCAATCAAGTGACACTTCAGGTGTCGACCATAAAGCCTTGGTAAAAGACAGTCACAGGCGCAGCTTGACATGTCCCCCCTTGTACGCGTGTTAAGTAGTAAAGAAGGATATCGAGGATGAGTGCAAAGGAGGAGATCTTCTAATAGAATACTTGGAAAGGGAGGAAGCACCCGTGAGCGAATGGACCGTCATCGACAAGAGCTTAGGCTCGATATAAACTGGCGAGGAATGACGTGAGATGCCGCCATTAACACCAAAAGCACAACAAGATGTTTGATTGCGAATTTATGAATAGCTTTTTTTATCTTGTTTTGTCTTGTTTCACCTTGCTTTGTCTTGTTTCATCTTGTCCTTTTATTATCTGGTCAATCAAAGCCTTTGTCTCTATTGCTCTACCTATCCAAGCCACATCCGCATTCCATCAGAATGTAAATTATTCGTCTCCATGTGAGGTACCATTTGCTGCCGAAATCGGCCATACGCGACTTGATTTGAGCAGCGTGGTTGCGCCCCCGTCTCCAGTCTGCCAGCGCTTTACATTATCACCTTGTCGAAATTCCGATGCATGATTCCGTATTATTTCTTCGTTTTCGTCTTCGAAACGTCTATAAGACGACCAAAAATTACCTTGAAATTAGAGGCACACCTTGGGTACGTGCTAAGCGAAAAAAGGACTCCATAGACTGTAACCCGACAGGTGTTGCACGGAAAAGGCCCAACAGATCGCGAAGCCCAACAAAGGGGCTTGACCGACAAAGGACTCATTGGTTACACAACTAGAACACGTGCCCGGGTAGGAGCCCTAGGCCCGGGCGTTCCTTTCATGTATATATAGAGGTCATCTCTCCCTTCCTTCCTCAAGGAAACCAAGGACCTTTGACACCCTACGAGATTATCACTGAATAGAGCCCTTTTGCTCCAAGCCCTCTAACGAGCCCTTGTCACAACAGGTCTCTTTGACGAATTACCCAACATGCTGCCCGTTTGCGTCCCTCCCTTGGGACTTTGGTCACCGAAAAGGACTTGCCATGTAGATGGAATAGCAGCTGCGTATTCGTGAATAAATTACAAGACTAGCAGCTGGCCGCATGACACGCACTGGTTCCTAGCCCGGTGTAAGCAAGACAGGAACAAGAACATGTCTGCCAGAACACTCAACAATGCTTTCTTCCTTGCAAGGCTTTCATGTCTTTTAGTGACTGCCTGGGTCCATGATACGTCTACCATTACCGGTGTCGATGGAATTCTGATTCAAAGCTTTTGGTACCGTATCTGACTTTTGTTCAGGTTTTGTCCCTGTGGCACTTGCAACTAGAAGTACCCTCCTCACCCGTCGACCTCGTCAGTTTTTCTATATTAACATTATCAGCATTTTCTTATTGAAAAGTTCCTTACCTCGACTGGCTCATTTCAAGACATCAAGGCACGCCGAGCATCAACAATCGGCATCATGAGCAACGGATTCTCTTACCACAGCAATGGAAGTTTTGCTTCTGGAGTTGTACCCATATCGGAGGGAATGCGGGAACAATTTAGTGGCGCATGGGTGGAGTTTGAAAAAGAGAATTCTGAAGATGATATTGTTATCTTGGCAAATGTTAATGTGGAAGATCCGAGGCAGTTATGGGCGCGGCTCCAACCACATTTACTACGAACATTTGGGAGTCGTAACGTGCTAGCCTGCGTTGAAAGTGGCTATTTATTTGTCTTCATTGACAAGAAACAGTTTAATAATGGATGTGTGAGTATTATGTGTATGCTGGGGTGAATCAAATCGATCCTAATGCTCAAATAGGTCGACCCTGCCGACACAAACATCCTGCACAACGGGCATCTCGAGCCCGACTATCTGCATAAACGGATGCTCATTGACGCGCTCTTCCATTTCAGGGACGTATGGAGCAACGCCTTGGACATCAGTGATTTGTGGGTGCCCGCATCTCCTTCGCCTAGCTGAATTGATCTGTCGCTACTCAACGCAGCTCGTGTGTCCCTCATCGTATCCATCACTCCTTGCTCTCTCACGATACCTCACACGATTATGGTCATGAACGATGCAGCACGGCTACAAACACTGAAACAAGACCGACGTCCTGGTACTTGACGTTAATCAATAACGTATCACGAGACTTCTTGCACATGCAATTCTTCTGTGCTCTCTGATTGCGTTCCCGAAGCCACGGAACAAAACGATGCGATGATGTAACAGATGCCAAGCAGGAGATGGCCGCTGGAGCTAGAGGCTGGTTTTACTCTGAAGGAAACAGGATAGGACTGCTGTCGAATTGCGCTTTTTTTTGTTTCTAGTCTCTTTGAAGGTCGAATGTCGAGGGTTGTGTGTGCGATTTTGCTTACACTATACGGAGGATGCTGTTGAGGGTATTTGTCAGTTTCCTAGCTAGTAGTACAAGAGGGCGGTCTCCTCCGCTCTCTCATAGTCCGTCAATGATGCCTGTTGTGATTTAGTTACGCGCCATCTTCAGAATCTAAACTTGCTCTCTTTGCAATTGTAGCTGCAGCTACCAGCTTATTTTGCCTTGTTGAAATACATAAAGCCAGTCACTTTGAGTGCTATAGATCTGATATAGTGTCAATGTAAATGTCATTATTGTTTGGCTTTTTGGCCGAGTTGCACCTTGAGGACCCTGGCGTTCAAGAAAGATTGAATACGTGTCTCGTCCGGGCCAACAAAGCGCGTGGAAGAATTTAGTAATTCCAGAAACAAGAATTACATGGAAACTAATTATTGCTGCGCCCGGCAACCGGCGAGGAGTGCGTTGGACTACTTCCTTAGCGACTGTTTCCAACCATTTACTACGCACTTTGGCCGGCACCAGAAAAGTGCGGCACCAGGTCATTTTGAAGAAAACGTTATCTTGTAGTTTGGTCTCTTATTTCCAACATGTTTCCTCGCCAACAGCTGGCAATGCCTTACCCTGAGCATCTTCCAATTTGGAGTGGCAGCCTATCTTAAAATCCCCAGGTGCGCAGACCGCCAGTATGCTCATGGAAGCTGACTGGCGATCCGGGACACGGCGGCACAAATGCCATCGGCTGAGAAGCGCTTTGTTTTGTCCACAAGAAGCATTTTATTTTCGATCAGCTCCAACATTGGTCGTGCGAAGGGATCGTCTGCGTGGAGCTCACGCAACAGCCCAATCTCCTGTTGTTTAGTTAGTGATTTAGGCCCGTGGACAATTCTGGAGATTCCTATTCGGAAACATATTACCTCTAAAACAGCCGGGTTTATCTTGGCCTCTTTTTTCCCACTTGCATTTATAATGATGAAGAACTCTTGTTCGTACTCGCTCGAAGACCGACGTGACCGCGCCCATCGCTTAAATTTGTAACGCAACAATCCGTCGAACCCTTGCAGCCACCATATAAACAGATCCAGATATAAACATCCAAGCGACCACATGTCGTATTTTGGACAAAAGGGCTGGTACACTCGCATCTCGGGGGGACGATAGGGCCATTTTTTGGATCCTTTCGGTGACAGCCCTATGTAAGACAGGCTCAGGAGATCACCATCTTCGTCATATGATGAGGACCGTAGGATATTTTCGGGATTAATGCCCATGAAGTCTCCACTCTTTCCCATCGACACTGGTAGCATCCTTTAAAAATATTGGCTCACTCCTCTCGTCTTGCCATGTCGTTGGCCTGTGTAACCGTCTAACAGCCTTAGCTAAGCCTAGGCACTGATTAGTTACCCATTTAGTTTTTGTAATAGTAACCATGTTCCGGGGCTTTTGGGCTGTTCTCCCAATACTCTCCGAGACTACCCTCTGGCCACTTGGAGAGTAAGCATTGTTTCTGTCCGTGTTGGAAAGTTAGGAGCACCTTATTTAGATGCTTTTCATTTTGAATTTTGGCAAGTCTTCTGGAGACCATGTCTAGCTGCTCACGTTGATGCCTCGGGGCTTCTATCATCTCCCTAAGTTCAAAATACAGAGGTTTGCCTGGATTCTTGGAGTTATCAGAAGACATATTGACACGAGCCACGTAGGAGAATTTGCTTACCTCAACTGATTTGAAGTTGTAATGACTAGGGTCGATCTCAACTTTGAAGGTTCTTGAGTTTATATCACTGGTCTTATACTGTGAGGGCTCACGGAAGGGAGCTATAGCGAGGTCACAAGAGCTCGTGATGCAACTGACAAGTTGTATTGTAAGAGAGCTAAAAGAAGTGAAGAAGTTAATCATGTAAAAGAAGAAGAAGAAGAGCTAGTTAAAGGGTGGTAGCGTAGCAATAATAACCTGGTGCCTTACACGTAATTATATAGGCTTTAATATTCCCCTATTTAAAAAAAGATA